CCCGGGGAAACACCCACCCCCCAACCCAAGACTACCTTAGCCACACTCCCCTGTCAGCATTCACAGACCACAGTAAGAACAGGCCCAGTTCGTCACATCCCCCCACCTGCCCTCCCAGAGCCGGGGAGAGAACCCAGGAGTCCTGGCTCACAACTCCCCTGTTCTGACCCCACTCAGCTCCCAGTGCTGGGGAGAAACCCAGGAGTCCGGGCTCCCAACTTCCCCTTCCCCCCACTCCCCCCACTCTAACCACTAGACCCCCTGCCCTCCCAGGAGTCCTGGCTCCCAGCGCCCCCTCCCCTGCCAAACACGCTCTAATCACTAGACCCCCCCCCGGCCCTCCCAGAGCCGGGGAGAGAACCCAGGAGTCCGGGCTCCCAGCCCCAGTGCCCAGGTGACTTACGAAGGCCCCGAATTCCAGGGCGTGGCCCTCGTGGATGAGGATGTCGGCCAAGGCCCCACTGTCCCGGGAGATCACGCTGCGGCAGCCGGGCAGCATCTTCTTCAGCAGCCCGGTGCCCGTGATGTGGTCGGCGTGGCAGTGGGTGTTGGCTGCGCGGAGCAGAACCAGGGATTTACAGACGGGAACCCGACCTGTTCCCGCCCCGCCGAGCCAGCCAGTCCCTGCCCTGGGGCCGGATCGGGGCCGGTGCCCCCCAGAGGGGAAAGGCCCCGTTCCCCATCCCCGGCGCCAGCCAGTCCCTGCTCTGGGGCCGGATCGGGGCCGGTGCCCCCCAGAGGGGAAAGGCCCCGTTCCCCGTTCTCCACCCGCCTAGCCAGCCAGTCCCTGCCCTGGGGCCAGATCGGGGCTGGTGCCCCCTACAGGGGAAAGGTCCTGACCCCATTCCCTTCCACAACGAGACTGTCCCCATCCCGACCCCCTGGGAGCTGCTCTCACCTGCATACAGTAAGTTGAGGCCCAGCTCCCTCACCAGCTCCGCGTCCCGCTTGGCCGTCTCCAGAACCGGGTCGATCAGAACCGCCTCCTTGGTCTTCAGGTCCGCGAGCAGGTAGGTGTAGGTGCAGCTCACGGGCTCAAAGAGCTGTGGAGGGGAGATCCAGTGAGCACCGGCGGGGAGTGGGGTCTAGCGGTTGGAGTGGGGGGACGCTGGGAGCCAGGACGCCTGGGTTCTATTCCTTTCCCTCCCCCTCTCCATCATGGCATCAGTTGCCGGTTGGTAAATCTCCCCCTCCCAGATATAATCAGCCCACCAGGAGTTACCCAGCAGCTCCATCGTCCCAGCTCGGCACCCAGCTGTGTTATTGGGCTCCCAGCATCCCCCTGGAGCCCACACAGGCCAGGTAACCACGGCGCAGCCAGGAGGGAATAATCGCGTCAGGCCCCCGGGGACCCAACAGGCAATGGAACTGCACGGTATGCGCTCATGTCTAGAGAACCCAGCTCTCACCACTAGACCCCACTCCCCTCCCAAAGCCCCACAGAGAAAACCCAGGAGTCCGGGACCCATCTTCCACCACCAGACCCTTCTCTCCTCCCAGAGCCAGGGATAGAACCCAGGCGTCCGGGCTCCCAACCTGCCTCACTCTAACCCCTACACCCCACTCCCCCCCCCCGAGCCAGGGAGATAATCCAGGTGTCCTGGCTCCCAGCCCTCTCTGCTCTAACCACTAGATCCCACTCCCCTCCCAGAACCGGGGATAGAACCCAGGAGTCCTGGC